CTGTAAAGAAGTTACAACAGCATGTTTAAAGTAGGATTACCTCAATGAGCTATTAATGAAGCAATGATGGACCAATGCTTGTGAGAGTCCCAGACAGGACAGAAGGAGGAACTAACTGTATGGTCACCATGAGCATGATGAGGTTTCATCTTGCCTTTTACTGTAGTCAAGTCATGTAGTCAAGAAGTAAATGATTCAGGACACCGAGCACCATTGTTACAGGCGGAGGAACCCGAGGAGCTTTTGAAGTTCAGGACCATCATCTTACTTACAAAATGACTGAATAAACAATCACAATCAGAAAGTAACAGAACATGCAAAGGTCCTGTTGACGGTTTCAAATAATACCCTTGGATTATTCTATTACAGTTTATTATTAAAATAAGAGGATCTAGCTTTTTTATTGCCTTATTATAAAAGTGAAGAAGTTCTCTGAAATATTTACCATGGACCACCCAACCCATGGACTTCCACAGCTACTCTGCTTTTTAAAAGGAATGTCCAAGGCCACAAGTTCAGAGTTATTTCCAGTTTTGTAAGGAGCGACCTGACTGAGAATGGCAAGGTAGTGTTCATTAATGGTGGCAGCAAGGAGCTCAACATTATTATCAGAAGAATTAGAAAAATTTAAAAAAGAAGAAAACTTGAAAATAACAGAATCATCAATGAAGCTCCTGCGCTTAACACAAACTTTGAAAAAACAAGTACGAGTTACAAGAAAACAAATGAATTTATGTGCAAATGGTCAAAGATAACACCATAAGTTAAGACCAAGTATGTGTGAGTAGGGCCCCAAACATGTTCAATAGATTTAAAGAGAGGAACTCCTGAGTTGTAGTGCTTGATGGATCCTCAGCATGAATATCCCCAACAAATGTGATTCTGTGTATATTTAATAGTGGAAGATAAAAATCTTTAAAATAGCATACATAGCAATTTTGATCATAGTTATCTCAAAGGAGCTATAAAAATTATATTAATATATTATATAAAAAACAATAGAATTTGACATAAAAATATATTTTTCAAACTTTCACGTGTTCCACGTCTACAGCCGGACATCTGCAGTGCACTAAAAGTGAACGTTCTCCATGACATTGTTCTAAAAATGTGAAGCTTCATTCTCACGCTGCCACGACTCAGAGAAAACGTAAAATTCTGTTTCTCACTACAAAAAAAGTCATTTTAAAAATATGACTTGTTAGCAGTAGAGTGGACATTACCATCATAAAACTGTTGAAACTTGCCTTAATATGTAAACAGTAAATAATTCTTTACCCAGTTTTGAGTTTCCAGGTCAAGTCCCAGCATTTATTTTTGTTTATTTATTAATTTATTTATTTTTTCTGTTGTTCTGATCAGAGTTGTGTGTGAGATTGGACCTGCTGATAAAGCTGACTGGGGACAGGTTGAGATCGAGGTGAATGGAGGGAAGAGAGGAACCTCCTCTGTTTCCTTCACCTACAGGGTAAATGCATATACACACATACACACTCACAAACACACACATACACACTCACAAACACACACATATACACTGTCCTCAGCTGCACGTCATCTGTTGAGTTGTACAACTTCTTATTGAGAAATTAAACTCATCCAAAAGCTTTCAGCTGATTTTGTTGTTTTATGGACTGTTTTATGTTTTCCATTTATTAGCTCCAGAGAAACTCTTATCAAAACATACCAAGGGCATGACAGTTAAGAAGACTGACCAAACATGCTAAATGTAACAGTAAATTAGGCACCTAGATGCACATTGCTGTGGTAATTTACTGTACAGTAAGTCAAAATGTGCAGGCATTCCTCTTTAACCAGATGCTGTGCAGCCGTTCCCTTTGTCACTTTAATACTCTAAGAGGCTACAGCGTAGCTATTTAACTGGCTTTTCATATCTCTGGCTCTGCTAAAGCTTCCCCACAGGGGAGTGCTCCTCCTAACTGTTTGCTCAGCAAATTGAGGCAGATGTGGTGCTTGTGGGAGTTTGTGTGTCTGAATGTTTCTGAAAGAGTGGGTCGGGTTAGATCAGGCTGAGAAGCAATGTTTCTGACATGGAGCTGTATCTGTGTGTGTTATTCTAGTGTGTGCCAGCATCTGCCAGTAGTTAGTGTGTACTTGAAATATGAGTGTGTATTAAGGTGGCATTTGGTGACACCCTCTCCCCTTCATTAGGACCCGATGCCTGAGGAGGTGATGCCAAATAGAGGTCCTAAAGCAGGGGGAACCCTCATTACAATCTCTGGACTATTTCTGAATGCTGGCAGTAAGGAAGATGTCCAGGTTACCATCGGAGGGGTGAACTGCAGTGTGTAAGGATTTCTTTTTTACAATAATTCTCATTCAGGCCAAACTTTTTCAATTCAGCCTCTTCAGTTAATAGAGCTACTTGTTATTCAGACATTTAATTCTATGCAAATTCTGCTTTGTGCACATTTTGAAGTCCATAAATTGATTTTTTTATATATGTGTATATTCTTGAAGCAAAAAATTGAATTGACCTAAACTTTAGTGTCACAATGAGGAGGGAGTTTTTTCTCTTACAATTTTCCTGTACTGTTGTGACCACCAGTGCTCTGTCAAAACAGATTCACGGTGACATTTTAGGCAGAGGTAACGGAAAAATAACGAGCAAGAGAAGCAGCAAAGCCAGATTTTAACAAGCTGTCAGCCTGCTGCCATGTTGGCTTCCACTGCACAGTGACCTTGTGCCACCCCCACTCCTTCAGCCAGCGAGTACTGAGCTATGTCCTTGTCTTGGCAGGGAGCACTTTGGAGAAAATATCACCTGCAGGACAGGAGAATACCGCGTGGATAAAGTGCCCTCTGACCCTCTCGACGTCGTAATGAAGTATGGAAAGAGAACCACAAAAAGCATCCCGGCTACCTTTCGGTTTGTTGAAAACCCCACTGTGCAGGATCACCAGCCCAAAACAAGCTTTGTCTGGTCAGTTTAACACAGCAGTATGCAGTCATGGTGTTTGTGACATTCACTCTATCTGTTTGTTACATGTTGTATTTTTACTGCCTTCATTTTACCTGCAGGGCAGGATGAAAGTTCAGGGGATAAATGTGTATGTTGTTGTCCTATTTTCATCCATTCAGACTATTGATCTCCTAATACGAATAATATGACCAAGTACTAAATGCATTCTGTACCTACATACAGTCTTACAGAGTAGGTATGATCGAAAATTTGCTCACTCTCCCTACAGTGACTGACATTGTTATTTTCAGAGTTCATATTTCTGAAATCTCTAAACTTCAGTGTTTCGAGATTACTGTCTCAATGGACAGAAATAAGAGAATAAGACACAGGCTGAGTTTTGCTTTTGAATATGTCCTTTAAAATAGAAATAAGAAAGCTTCTAAGTTGACATTGTTTTTTGATCACAATTCTGCCACATGATTAGAAACACTGACTAGAATGATAATCATTAAAATTACCACACGTGCATTTTAAGAACCCTGCCTGTCTTCCCTTAATTCTCTCTGTGTGCTTGTGCTCTTATTTTTGTGTGGGTAGGAGTACAATTCCTTAATATGCATTTTCCTGTGTTTTTGGTGTGAATACATATGTTTGTGTGCGTTTTAGTGGAGGGAGGAATATTATGGTAACTGGCACCAGGTTTGACATAATCCAGACTGCGATCATGAAGGTCCAGGGACGTGACTGGTCATCTTCAGAGGTTCCTGTTCATTTTCCTCATCTTCCTCTGAGTCAATGCACTGATCCACCTCTAAGAGTCATAATTTCTTAGATTTGTCCTTACTCTTTCTATTGAATGTTGTAATGTTGTATTAAATGTCGTAATCAAAACCTTACAAATTTCTGACATATAACAATAGAAATGCAATTTATGTGACTACTCATTTGGCTCGTTAACATATAGAACATACATCAGAACAGAAAAGTTTGCTTTATTATTTTTATTGCTGCTGCATATTTTCTATGGTGTAATTTCCTTTATGACATGTCATGCTTGTATTTTTTATGTCCTTTTGTCACAATTTACTGTCCCTCTATTATACAACATACTCAGTTTGCCCATAAGAAGAACGCCACAGTCATCCAGTTTCAGTCTCCAACAGTAAACGGCTCCGCAGACCAGCACTTGAAAACAGTCATTAAGCTGGACAACTGGGAGAAGGAGCTGAAGCCCTTTTTCTACCACCCTAACCCCAGCTTCAATAATCTACAAAACAAGATCATCACTGCGAACAGCATGATTATCGTTACTGTGAGTACAACCATGAGGTCGCTTTAATATAGTTCTAGTACAATGATTTGTTTTGGTTTTGTTTTTTCTGTCATAATAGAAAATAATAGAGAAAAAATAACAGAGAAAATCCCAACCATCAGAAAACCCTCTATGAGCAAGCACTTGGCGACAGTGGGAAGAAAAACTCTTTTAACAGGAAGAAACTTCTGGCAGAATCAGAATCAGGCTAAAATCCAGAGAGGTGTACAAACATATAGTGCGTGAAAAAAAAATGAGTGACGAAGAAACACTCAGTGCATCATGGGAATACCCAGCAGCCTATGCCTATTGCAGCATAAGTATGGACTGGATTCAGAGTCACCTGATTCAGCCCTAACTATATGCTTTATCAAACAGGACAGTTTTAAGCGTAATCCAACAAATCCAAACGGTGAGCTGGTTCCACAGGAGAAGGGCCTGAAAACCGAAGGCTCTGCATCTCATTCTGCTTTTAAATAACCTAGGAACTACAAGAAGGCCAGCGTCTGAAAGTGAAGTTCTCTATTTAGGTGATAAGGTACTGTGAGTAAGATAAGATGGGGACTGAATATTAAAGACCTTTTGGAGGATTTTAAAGTTTTTTACAATAGATGCTTACAATATTTATCTTTTTCTTTACTTTTGGTGTATAACAGCTCATAGCTGTCATACAGTACACCCATTCCCACACATTACTCATAAAGTGCTGCTGATAAGGTTTTCAGTGCTCATTGTATTATCTGTCTAATTAACTTCAGTCACTGCCCTTAGAGCCTTGGATTCACTCTTCCTCCTGCAGGGTCGGGGATTCTCCAAAGCCATGACAGCAAAGGAGGCTCAAGCCTTCGTAGGTGACGTTCAGTATGTGGTCAACACCCTTCAGGATGATAAGCTGTTCCTGGAACCACCTTCCAGCCCACCTCGTGCTCACTCCACACAGGTGGATGTAAAGGTCAGGCCACAAAAAGACAAACGGATGACACAATGTTATGGAGGACATGGTCCAACTGTTTTATTTCATTGAAAGTTCTAACAAGCTACAACGCTCTAACGTGACTTCATAAATGAAGGCAGTCCTCTGAAAATGTAAAAATATGGAAGTATCAAGAGAGTGAACTTTAAGTACCCAGTTTAATTTATTTTTTTCATTTCAAAAACCTTAAGCTCCCAATTTAGCAGAAAGTTACATTCTATCCCTACTCCAGTATCTTCCCGTCTTTACCTTTGGTAAAATGTGCAGCGCTTGTGTAAATAACAAGATTTCCACTCTTTTGTTTCCCACAGATCAAGTTTGGGAAAGGGGTGTGGGTGGTTGGCTCAATGGAATTTGAGGACAAGAATTATTCCCTCTACATGATCATCCGTATTATCCTTCTGGTCACCCTGGTCACCATCACTATCTCTGTCTACTGCGCCACACGAGCTCAGTTGTTTTAGGTTTGTTTTAAGAATCATATCATATACATACAGTGGGGCAAAAAAGTATTTAGTCAGCCACCGATTGTGCAAGTTCCCCCACTTAAAATGATGACAGAGGTCAGTAATTTGCACCAGAGG